TTCCGCGGGCTCCGGGGTTTCGGACCAGCACGTGGAACGTGCTCCAGCGCGCGGACGCTCTGCAGGGCCACCCAGTTTTTGAACCACAGCACGCGCTCCTTGCCGTCTGCTCCCAGGGCGTCTGCGAAGTATCGGTCGACGAAGTCTTGGATCAGCAGCCTGCTCTCGGTAGTTACGTCGCCCGACGCAGGGTCCGTCTCGATGGGGGTGCGCGACCAGACGACAATGTGGGTGATCTCGGGCGTCAGGCCGTAGGGCCAGTCGTTGATGAGGACGCGGTAGTCGGCCGGCTCGGCCAGGGGCACGGTCGAGGTCGGTGTAAAGGGCGGGGCGCCCCATGCTTTGGGGAGGCGGTGGACGAGAAGGTAGTTTGTCATGGAGCCATACTCGGCCTTGGTCTCCGTCGTCCACTTCATGTACCGGCGCAGGTCGGACGGCTTGCGCTTGAAGACCTCCAGCCTGTTGGCCTCTTGTGGGCGTCATCAGCGGGAGTCGGTCAAGATGTTTACATGAATGAAAAGCCTTACCGATTGTTGATTTCAAGTCCTCCCAATCGTGCGATTTGAACTCTTCGTCCGTGAGAGCCAGCACCGCCTTGTCCGTCTCCGTGAGCGGGAAAGGGGTCTCTGCCGGTGCTGGGTCACCCATGATGAAGGTGCTCGCCTGGCTCGTGGCGTGGGGTGTGTTCTCTCTTGAGATGCAACAACAGGTAAAGGGAAGCTTCAACCAAGACTGAACTGCAAGTTGGATCTGTAAAGACAGTCGAAGATGGATGAAAAGGAAACACAGGGATCGCGATTCTATCGCAGAACTCAAGTAAGAGCTAGGTTTGATGAGTCGTCCAGTCAGTCCGGTTGCTGACCGACTACCATCTGCCCCCCCCCCCCCCCCCCCCCCCCGTGTGAGTCACGTGATAATCGAACCCATTTTGCCTTTGATTTACAATCAAGGTAAGGAAAGCCATCTATATGCCCAACTCATGAAATAGTAGTTGAATATAGTACCTAAATATGATTCATTATTGCATCTAAAGAATATTATATGGATTATTAAGGAGTATTTTTAAGAGTAATACTACTTGTTACTGTTACATAAGCAATGTGCTCGAGCAGCTAATGCTGTGCAATCAGCTTGGCTAGCAGTCTTTTCTTTGGAAAAGTAGAAAAACTGCACTGATTATGTGACGGTAGGACCTTTATCTTTCGATCATCAAGTTTAATTGACGGAGATGACTAGAGTAGTAGGTAGGGAGCTTAGTCAAG